GAATGCTTATTTCAAATTCTTAATTTTCTCTGACCTCCATAATATGTAATTAAGAGTGTAAATACTTTGAAAGTTATTGGACTAGTCATGTTACAATAGAAATACTGTACTTCCGTGTTTCATTTTTTGTTGGTATACTACTGATAACTGCTAAATGATTGTTCACAGTTGCAGGGCTGTGGTTTCCAGAGACATACTGTATATTATATCTATAGGTGTAGGTTAGAGATTCTATTAATATTATTGATACGGTACTTGTTCTTTCTTCCTCTCTTGAAAACGCTTATAAACCACAAAGTTCAATGTGATGGCTTTTCATTAATATAATACTGTTATGGTAGCTGGCAGAATCAGATTGGTTCTGACCCAATACTACTGCTCCTGGGTGGGCTGGCGAGCACAGTTCTCAATTGTCATATGTGGCTATTGCACTATAAAAAAAGTGAAAGGGAAATTCAAAGTCCAATTATACTAATCAAAATCTCAGTTCTTTCCTATTCTGATTATGTAGCATTCAAACAGCAATTTTGTTTTTCGCATGTAGGAGAGAATAAGCACAGTGTGCAATGAAGGAAACTGGAAGGAGAATAAACCTTCAATCACCTAATCCAATGACAGATCTGAATTTATCTTGTCTGTGTGAAGTTATGATGATGTTGGAATTCAAAGTGGCCCGAGATGGGAAAAGGGTGGAAGATTGTATTGTGAAAGTCATTATAGAGGGAATGGAGAGTGATGAATGTTTCTTTTTCATCCATTAGTGAAATATATTTGTCTTTCAACGAATCCTTATGAGCTGAGATAAGATATAACGTTTCATGCAGAGCGTTATGGTGTTTATCATTGTTAAGATAAACATTCTCTCGCTAGCTTAAATCGTTTATTATTGCATTCTCCCTTCTAATTACATAAAGATAATGTTACGAAATACAAAAAGCATAATGAAATTAAAATTTTATGTATCCACTGATGACTATTAATCTTATTTCAATTTTACTTGTTAGATGGTTTATGTTATATTAACTATATGCTTTCGAATTATATTAGAGAGAATCGCCTTTCTAAATTAGTTATAAATTATGTTTATATTCATAGACATGGCTCGTCTGATTATTTCACTATTTGTCAATGATTTCTACATATGTTATAATCATAATAGTTACATGAAAATTACCATATTTCCATTTATAACAAACAAACGATCGATTATAGAAAATTCCAACTTCAATTATTTATTGATATAATGAAGAATTTTAGACTCGATTCTTTGGTGGACCTATATTGATATTTTTGCTGTAAATCTCAATTTCTACCTCTCCTATATTTCAATGATCTGCAGTTGCACGATTTCAACTTATCCCTCATAAAAGTTGATATACAATGGTTTCCAGATAAAATAGTATGATTCTTTGATCACCAAGACATATTATACTTACCTAATAAAGAAAAAATTAACTAGAAGTGCTCTCTTCCACTACATTCCATGTTATGATATCCATTGAATTGTATATATTCAGCTTCATATAAGAATAAACAGAAGTGAATAACCATAATGATATAGCACATCTTTATTTATTTTCCTGGTTAGATGAGCCCCGGGAACCCCAAATTTATTCTTCACTATTCACTGCGTCGATAGGATATCTCCAACTGTTAAGGTGGAAAAACAAGCTATGACAGATCATATTATTCATACTCCAGCAAACTGGTATTAATGAGTAGCACCTAATGCCTAAAGACGACAATACAGTGTGCTACTCTGTGTCCTGGAGATGGGTTGTCATATGTGTATTGGCAGTTGGGCATGTGGTTTCACTTTGTTAACGGAGTGAGGGTTCAGTAGAGTTTTTCGTGTTTTCTTTATAGAATGGAATATAACTCAAGGTATTTATAATGGAGTGAGATGTGCCCATTCGGTGCGGTAGAGGTAAATAGGTTCGTGTCTCAAGACTGACGTGACTGACTGGCAAATGGGAAGGTTTTTGGTTCGGAGGTCGCGGTGGAAGATTGTGGTGCATCTCTCTATAACCTTTAAAATTCATGAGTCTGTAAATCCCCCTTTTAACTATAGACCAAAATAAAAATGTCTATCTATCACTATAACCTACTAAAAAATTATGAAGTAAATATACAAGATAAGAGCTGTAACTTTACTTACAGGTGAAAGTTATAAATAGAATCATAAAGAAGTCAATGGTGTCATAAAGAATACATGGAAACAGAAGTGCTTGAGAATTCACAACTCATTGTCTAATCGCACAATAATAATTACTTAATGAAGGAAACTAGAAAGCTTGTTGTCCACAACAAAAATGATTCAATTTTTATAACATTCATAACAAACTTGTTTTACTTGCTCATTACATACTCATTTAAATATGTGCAATCAGAGTCTGAATACCACAGTAATCCATATATGATCTTCATACTACGTGGTGAAAAATAGGATATAAAGTGAATTTTATATTCATTATTATCGCCTGCAGATATATCAAAAAAGGATGAGGTGAAATCTCAAAGCAATACCATGAAAAGTATGATATGAAGATTCACTATTCATTGATTGTATGACCCAGTTTAGGGCATATGGATGAGTGATGGCAAATAATCAATGTGCATGAATATACGTTATTAAATAATAACATTCCAATGGTAGATATTGGATCTTACATGAATAGTGGTGAGTGTTCTTAAAAACAACAACAAATTAATTGATTCAAAAAGTGGAGGTGGCCCAGACAGCTTGGAGGCTCTGGGCTGTCAGGCGCTCAGGAGATCTGGCTTTGAGTTCCAGCTCTGCAGCCATTTGCGGGAGATTGGGACCAATCTTTTCACTTTCTGCAGGCTGTTAAATTGGCTGTAAAACAGGAGTGATATTACTAGCCTAAGAGGGCTGTTAGGATTAAATAAGATATATATGAAAGTATTTTCTTAAGTGGCCTCCAAAGGTGAAATTATCATTTTTTGTTTTGTATTTTTCTGCAAGGCTAAGACACTTCTACAAACCAGGCTTTTCGTTCAATTTTTCTTGTCCCCACCCCCTTTTCTTTTTTATACACACATCTCATTAAAACTTGGTTTGATAAACTAATTAACGCTTTGAAATTTTGCCAACTCAGTTTGGGAACAGTTGGCTCATAGCAAAATTCTTTTTTTATTATCAACAAGAAAGTGCTGTCAGTCTAAATGTAAAAATATTCATGCAAGACCAGTGCAAATCTGAAGTAAATATACTTCAGCATTCTTTCAAATGTCTTCTTCGTTCTAATATTCTAAATAAAAGCTTGAATGCTTATTTTCAAATTCTTAGATTTTCTCTGCACTCCCTATTAATATGTAATTAAGCAGGTAAATACTTTGAAAGTTATTGGACTAGTCATGCTACAATAAAATACTGTAACTTCTCCGTGTTTCATTCTTATTGTTTATACTACTGATAACATGTAAATGAACTTGCTTCACAGTTGCAGGGGCTGTGGTTTCCAGATATACATTATATATATATATATATATATATAGGTAGGTTAGGAGATTCTATTAATTATTTTATACTAACTTGTTTCCTTTTTCTTTCCTTCTCTTAAAATCAGCTTTCATATAACCACAAAGTTCATGTGATGGCTTTTATTAATATATACTGTATGGGATAGCTGGCAGAATCAGACTTGGGTTCTGACCCAATACTACTGCTCCTGGGTGGGCTGCTGAGCAAGTCTCTCAATCTGTCCAAGTATTGGCTATGCCACCTATAAAAGAATTGAAAGGAAAATTCCAAAGTCAATGTAGTATCTATCAAAATCTCAGTTCTTTCCTATTCTGATCCCTATAGCATTCAAACAGCACATTTTGTTTTTCAGCACTGTAGAGAGAATAGCACAATGTGCAATGGAAGAAACTACTAGTAAATACATCACTAGCAGCTGATTTGTTGTGTGAGAGGTATGATTGATTCTGGACCCAGAGGAAAGGTGGGAAGAGTGTAGTGTCATTATGGGAAATGAGGTGTGCACTCTTCTCTCACCATCATATTGTGTTTCAGTGATCTTGCGATCAGATAAAATTCAGCAAGGCTTAGTGTTTTTGCTAGAGAAACATTCTTCAGCTAGCTTAAATCCTGTCATATCTATTGCATTTCTCCCTTCTAATTAGCACATACAAGATAATGTAGGAAATACAAAAAAGCATAATGAAAATTAAAATTATCTTATTATCCACTGATGACTATTAAAATCTTATTTCAATTTTACTTGTTAGATGATTATTTTCTAAAATATAGCATGTATAGTTTTATATCCTGCTTTTTTCATGTAGCCTAATATTTTCCCCATTGTCATTTTTCTTGGTTTCTAATAGTTGCATAATTTTCCATCAAAAAGATGTTTAAAACCTTCCCAATTTTTCATTAGAGAAAATGAGCATCCTTTGTATTTTATCTTTTGCTGAATCATTCCCCAATGCTAGACTGCCAGTTCAGAAGTTATCAACTTTGTAAAGGCTTTATTACCAATGTTTCCAGAAATACTTCACCAATATATCTTCCAAAAGAATGTAAGAATGCCCTCTCACTAAATCCTTACTGATATTATATCTAAATAAGAGAAATCACAAAATTATTAGGTGAACTGGTCCAATTATTTTTAATTCTCCTGCCTTGAACTACTGGTTGGGTTGAACATATTTCAAGTGGCAACAGACAACTGTATTTTGTTCCTGAGTTGTTTGATCATATTATTTGCCCATTGTTCTCACCTTTTTTTCTTACTGATTTGTAAGAGTTTTTCTTTTTTTTCCTTTAGAAGTGAAATCAGGCTTAATTTATCTAGTAAAGTTCTTTAAACAGTCTAGGAAAAATGGAGGTTTTCATATCTATTTTCTCCAGTATATCTGTATAGTTTTACTAATGTCCTCTCTTCCTGTTCCTCTTTCATAGTAATAAGAAAAGTAACTCACTTCAAATAAAAGTGTAACAATGCAGGATTAAAAAATGGAAACAGAAGCTCTTGGAATCAATCATTTATCACAAAATGAACAATTTCAACTTTTAAACATACAATCACTTTTCTCCATACTTAACTCAAAATGAGTAAACAGAATTTTATTCAAACTTTACAAATATCATTTACATTTAGCCTGAGATTAAGCATGAGAAAGTTCAACCTGAAGTTAGACTTCAATGCCCAGTTAAGCATCTGAAAATAAAGCTGAGCATGAATATACGTTATTAAACATAATTAAAGCATTCCAATGAAGTTTAACAATGAATTGTGATGCAAACTGAAATTTAACTTATTCTGGTCCACATGATCTTCAGAGCCTAAAAGTACCTATTTTTTAATGATTAAAAAAATCTGCAGATGACAAATTTATGAAGGTGTGTCCAGATGCAGAAGCTTGGTTCAACATTGTTACAGCAGCTGCTTTAGGTGACCATTAAAAAAACTCCCCAATCAAGTACAATCATGTACTTGAAAACATGCAGCAGCATGGTACAGTTGATTAAGTTTACAAATATCAGTACTTATAATAAAATATAAAATACAGAGTATCCCTTTTTCAATTATTAAGTCTCTGAATGCTTCATTCATCCTTTGGTTTCAAACCCATACAATGCACTCATATTACATTGTAGATTTAGCATTGAGACAGAACACTGTACATCTACTGGGGAAGGTGGGGTGCTGTGGGAATACCAAAGCACTACGGTAAACGCTGAAGCAAAAATACTTTCTGAATATATACTGTACATTATGTAAACAAACATTCAGAATAAGAATCAACACAGGCCAAAATATTGTCTTCTAGGAAACCAGAATCTTCTTTTAAATCACACACACGATGTTTTTTGTTAAGAAATGGAGACTGTTCCTGTATTTGTTTATGTGCTTAGATATCTTGGAAACGAGTGATTATTACATTCATTTGCTAATGGTTCGACCTCTGCTCAGCTGGCTGGCTGTTGCAAACACGGAATACAGAACTATTTCAGTCCCTGTTTTTCATTTAATACTAGTTTAGTAATATATATTAATAATTAATTCATCTTTATCAATCCCTAATAGTAATATAAAGTGAAGCAGTGAATTTCAAAATTTGTGCAGGGGAAACTAGTTGATAATTTGTTTCCAATAAGGCTAGTAGCAAAATAATTACTACAAAGTCAGTCCAAGCTAGTAGTGAACCCCTGATTTAACAGGCTGAATCAGAGTTTATAGTTAGGTAATTCTAATTCCTATATTACTGTGCAAATCTAGAATTTCTTATGTAAAAGAGAGTGCCGGCAGCATCAAAGCCCTGTAATAAAAAAATGAAATACTGATTAGGGTTCGAAATGCAGAGATAGTATATGAAGAAATGTGAATGTCTTAATGATGGTATCACAGCAATGGCCTCAGAATTCCTTTAGTGAATCCAAAACTAAGCCAATTCATTATTCAATAATCATCTGAGTCAAAAGCCTAAATTTGAAGCAAGTGATAAAGACACAAAACCAAAGATGCACTTTCTATGACCATATGCAAGAATTTCAAGCTCTATGTTAACATTCTGTACCAGCACCAGTCCCCCCTAAAAGAAAAAAGCTTAGTCATGACTGTCCATCCCTTTTCAAAGCTTCCAGTCTTTGAAGGAGTGCGTTTCCAAAAGCTTCCCGGTAGGCAGGGCTGAGCGTATCCAACAAGGAGTAGACTGTTTCATGGTAGGGAGTCTGTAAGTGATCATCCACCTGGTCAAAAGCATAACCTACCACCTACAAGAGAAATGAAACAGTGAATTAGTTCATCTTGGTAGAGAATGAAAACCAAGTGTTTACATGGGTAATTATCTAATGACACTATTTTTCAATGTAAGTCAGAATATGCACATTTTTATTACAACCTTTAATATTTAAGCAACTTATAATGTATAACATATAACATAGAAATACCACCAGTAAAATGCTCCTTGTAGACTTCTTTTTTCAAAATTTAAAAGGTTTGATTTACCTACTCTTGATCCAAAAAAAAAATGTAGAGAAAGAACTTAAAAAGCTACACAAAAACAGTATTTCATTTTTGTATTTCAAAACATGCTTCCATTATTCACCCTATTTAATTCCACATATATTGAGGGTCCACTATGTTAAAGTATTATAATATATGTTATTAGTTTTGTATTTTAATCATTATTTATAATATTTAGCTTGTAATCCTTTATTCCTAGAAATTCAGTTTATTAATAATTATTTTAATTATTAGTTTTAATACCTCTTTAACGTTCTAATTAGTAATCTGAAAGGCCATGATGTTCACCTAATATATATATATATATATATTTTTTAGACAGAGTCTCACTCTGTTGCCTGGGCTAGAGTGCGGTGACATCAGCCTAGCTCACGGCAACCTCAGACTTCTGGGCTCAAGCGATCCTCCTGCCTCAGCCTCCTGAGTAGCTGGGACTACAGGCATGTGCCACCATGCCCAGCTAGTTTTTTCCATATAGTTTTAGCTGTCAAAGTAATTTTCTTTCTATTTTTAGTAGAGACAGGGTCTCACTCTTGCTCAGGCTGGTCTCAAATTCCTGAGCTCAAATGATCCACCCACCTCGGCCTCCCAGAGTGCTAGGATGATAGGCGTGAGCCACCGTGCCCGGCTCACCTAATATATTGTTTATCTGACAGCAAATGAATGGTCAACTATGAGATAAAAGAGAATGTTATTCTGTGGGCTTTCCCCCCTATAAACATAGCTAAAATTCTTCTCTTTGACAAAAATTATATTAATAAGATATATCATGGTTCCCTAGCACAGTATAGGGTAAAATTAATTTAGTTTTTGCTAACTCAACTAAAGCTTGTAAACTCCTCATATAAATTCTTAATTTTTATGACATTTAAGCCATAGAAGATGAAAGTTTATGTTAGAAAAGGAAGCTTAGCATTTTTTTAAAATGAAAAGCACACGCAGACACCTAAGGAAAACGAATCCCACCTCTTCAAAGCCATGCTCGATTACTGCACTCTGTATAGGTGTAGGAGAGTACAGTTCTGTTTGCCTTCCTCTTATACCTGCTAGACTGTGATCTTCCTGGAGGATAGAGATCATGTCTTATTCATGGTCTGATTTTCAACTGCTGACACAGGATAGTTGCTCAATAAATGTTAGCTCAATCAGACTGAAAAACAAATATCTGAGCAAAATATACCTAGTACATGACAGGTTTCACGACTGATCCATATCTTTCCATATCACTTATCATATAATCATCCCCAAAATCCTTTTTAGTTTTTAAATCTCTGGGTTATAGATAAAGTAGCACAGACTCTAAAGGGTAGACTAACTCAGCCATGATCACTCAAATTCACATTTAAGACTTCTGACTCTCTGATCAGAACTTCTACCTCATCACAGCTAACATACATACCTTGCTATGTTGTCAGGCTGGTCTTAAACTCTTGGGCTTGAGCAATCTTCCTGCCTCAGCTTCCCAAGTAAGTGGGATTACAGGCATGCACTATCACGCCCAGCAAGATCCACTTCTAAACATTACAAGCTTTTCGTACAAATTTAAGGATTTGAAAAGGAGTGCACAAAAATTAGTCAACTCAGGTACTACTCCTAAAGCTAAGCAGCTATCTATACGACAGTTGTGAGGGAACTGAGAGTAGTAAAGATGCTAGTCTTGCAATTTACTCTATCAAGAATATAGAGTACACATGATTCATCTTCAGCAAACTGAATCTAGTGAAATAAAGAGATTTTCATGTACTTGTTTAACACAATATTATGTGACATTTTTACTTGCTTAGGCCTTGCCCTCTACCTTATGATAATGTGCAACTACTCTTAACAGATACAGAGAAGCAGAAAAGTTAGCAACCTTTGACCAAGCATGAAGATTCACTGATTAGTAGAGTTAAAACTAAATTTTAGATTTTCTAATGTCTATCCCTTTGTTCAATAGGTCAAAGATTATCATGATATACACATATTTTTTAATGAAAAGTTGCTCTCAGGTCACGCTTTCTACTATTCTAAACTCATGATTCTTGTTTAAAGAACATGGAAAGGTCAATCTGCCTAGAAGAGTTCACTTGTAATAAAGAGATACTCGTAATAAACGGCCAATAGGACACTCTTGGAAATTTGGGGGTGGAATGTTCTATGCTGATTTAATTGTGATCTAAGAGCTGGAAAATAGTGAAGTCAAGTATGCTGTCTTAATAGAAGAGACATTTATAAAAGATGGACAAAGACCCTTTCAACACAATGATTGCAAAACTCATTCAATGCAGAGAATGCATAATAATTTTGGTGGACACATTTAGCTATAGGTGAAAAATAAATTAGTTTTGGGGGTGATGATTAAAACAAAGTATTACTCTGCAAATCAAATGTTTCTTCTTTTTTAAAAAATTTAATTTTCCCACATTGATCAAAGACTCTAAAATTAATAAAAATTCCTAGGAAAAGTTTTCTTTAAAAAAAAATTTGAAAGCTATTGAGTGTTCTCATTTAACACCCTCCACCTCCCTACCTCCTTACTCCCCTCAACTTTTTGATAAAGTGGTAAAGATACACTTTTTTTTTCTAAAAAGAAAACTGAGTTACCTTAAGTCCTGCTTCAGTGAGCTCCAGGCAATATCTGTTCCTTTCCTTTGTTTCCACATTGATATAGGCCACATCATCTGCACAGCGCAGGCTTTTTGAGACAAACATGTTGTTAACAGCAAAGAGAACATCATTTACAACTGCTTCTGCTTCCAGCCTCATGTCTTTCACATCAGTTCCTTCAAAACCATTAAGGTCTGAACCTTCTTCAAATCCTGACATACTGCTTAACTCCATGGGATTACAGTCTGTTTCCATTCTGCAAAAAAGTAGATAAAAAATTTGTTTATAGAAAGACATTTAAAATATGATGTGATTAAAATTAGCTATATCTTACAATTGCAAAACATTAGCTAACAATTTTTAGGAAAAATATTGTCTAAAACCATTTCCACTAGTTTTTCACAGCAAAATTACAGATACCTACAGATTTCCAAAAAAAGGATCTCTCTTCTCCACTTACTCCCAAAAGGTTAATTTTCATATTAATAAACATTTGGAATATTACAGTTTTTAGCTATTTTAAACATGCCTCAGTAACAATCCTAGTACATAGTTATTTTAAAATTTATAATCACTTCTCTAGGATAGATATTTAGAACTGGAATTGCTAAGTCAAAGGACATGATCATTTAACTTTCAATAGATATTGCCAATTCATTCTTTTTTTTTTTTTTAATGTATTATGGAGGTACAAATGTTAAAGGTTAGGTATATTGCCCATGCTCCCCCTCCCCCCTAGAGTCAGAGCCTCAAGAGTGACCATCCCCCAAACTTTGCAAATCTCACTCATTGTGTTTGTATATACCCATCCCCTCCTCCCACCTCCCTGCAATTCATTCTTCAAAAACAAGGGCTACATTGATCTATACTCTCCCAATAGAATATGAGGGATATACTCTTTTTCTCCACATTTCTTCCAATTCTTTTAAATTTTTGCCAATTTGAAAGGCAAAGAATAATATAGTGCATTGTTTTAATATGCATTTCCATGTAGACATCTTTTTGGATGTTTATAGGATATTTAGATGCAAGATCATACAGATGTGAAAGTAGAAATGGAAATAAACCCAAGTTGTCTGAAATCAGATTCCTTACCTACCATATGTACAGTACCTCTCAGTAGCCCCTTTTAAGACTTCTGGATTTAGGGGTTTAAGGCCTTCCCCATCCTTCAATGATCACATTTTAAAAACTCCCCTAAATTGTCCTCTAAATTCTTATCCATCTGTATTTAACCCTTTGAGCCATCTGGAACTTATTTGTGTAGCTTTATTTTCCAAATCTATAGCCTACTGTCCTAACACTATTTACTGAATAACTTATCTTTTTGACCACTTATTGGAACTGGCCCAAATGTTGTATTTTGAAAACATTATTTTTCATGCTAACTTGATCCAATATTACTGTCAGGTTCCCATATAGTTATACCTTTTCTTCTGTAACTGGGGTTAAAAAGGATTTCCTGACCAAGTATTGTTAAAATTGGAAATGTATGAATAAGTTAATATGAGATTGCTTTGCAATGTATAATATAAGGAGCGTGACAGAAAAGATATTGTGCTTTTTTTTTTTACTTGGCAGGCTTTAAAAGTAAGTTAAGATTTTCATTTCTTTAATATGGATTAAGCATCCACTGTCCTGAATGAAGCATGACTCTTCATTCACATATTTAATAAAAATTCATTGTGTATCTACTCAAGCACTGTGGTCAAGGTCTCACATTAAGGTATAGTCCCTCCTCGTCACCACACTGGAGTTAGATTAGATTAGTAATCAACTCACTCTCTCTTTTTGTTAGAGAAGAGGTCGTGCTGCCCAAACTGTAGTGCAGTGGCTATTCACAGTTGCGATGACAGTCAACTACAGTACAGCCTTGAACTCTAGGACTGAAGCCATCCACACTTGGCCCTTAAACTCATTTTATAAAAGAAGCCATAACAACTTTTTTTATTACAATGCTGATAACTTTTATGGACATTTATTTATACCACTTATCTGGTATGATACATTACACATTCATTTCTTTTTCTGAAGTTATTACCTTGTGTCCTATTTGTGTGATATTCAAAGTCCTTTAAGTTGGTGGTTCTCTACCTTGGCTCTTATTACAATCACTTGGGAGAGCTTATAAAATTGCAGATGCACTGACCCCACTGCAGAGCAATGAAATCAAAATCTCTAGGAAAGGCCAGGTACGGTGGCTTACACCTGTAATCCTAGCATTCTGGGAGGCCTAGGCAAGACGATCGTTTGAGCTCAGGAGTTTGAGACCAGCCTGAGCAAGAGCCAGACCCCATCTCTACTAAAAATAGAAAGAAATTAGCTGGACAACTAAAAACATATAGAAAAAATTAGCTAGGCATGATGGCACATGCCTGTAGTCCCAGCTACTCGGGAGGCTGAGGCAGTAGGATTGCTTGAGCCCAGGAGTTTGAGGTTGCTGTGAGCTTGGTTGATGCCATGACACTCTAGCCCGGGCAACAGAGTGAGACTCTGTCTCAAAAAAGGAAAAAAAAATTAAAAAAAATAAAAAATAAAAAAAATAAAAAATCAAAGTTAGTTCTGAAGATTTAGATATGTGACTGCTACTATGAATCTCGATATCATGAATACCAAACATTTTCATTTTGCTTAAGTAATCAAGTACTTAAATTATAGATGTCAGAAATAATGATCATAACATAAAGTCTGATGCTTACAAAGTTTTCTAAAGCAAGAGTCTACTTCATTGCAGTGAGGACCTTAATGATGAAGAATCTAGTACTAGAATGAAAGAAATCCTCATGGGTTGGTAAAGTAGGTCACCAACTGCTGCTGTGTAATAATGAGCACCAAACTGCCAAAAAAAAAAAAAAAAAAAAAGAGAGAGAGAGAGAAAGACACCTTTCCTAAGATTGAACTTCTAAATGATTTTGTGTGAAATGTTTTTTTATTTTTTTTAAGACAGAGTCTCGCTTTGTTGCCCAGGCTAGAGTGAGTGCCGTGGCGTCAGCCTAGCTCACAGCAACCTCAAACTCCTGGGCTCAAGCAATCCTCCTGCCTCAGCCTCCTGAGTAGCTGGGACTACAGGCATGCACCACCATGCCCGGCTAATTTTTTCTATATATATTAGTTGGCCAATTAATTTCTTTCTATTTTTAACAGGGTCTCGCTCTTGCTCAGGCTGGTTTTGAGCTCCTGATCTGGAGCGATCCGCCCGCCTCATTCTCCCAGAGTGCAAGGATTATAGGTGTGAGCCACCGCGCCTGGTGGAAATGTTTTTAAATGACAGATAAAATTCAGAACTTTTGAAGATACATATAAATTAAAATGACAGATTTTATTATTGAAGCACTATGCAAATTAACATTTTTAGCTATTATTTTAAGATATTACAACTTATTTTTTGTAGATTGCAACAGATTCTTGATTATTTACTAATATTGTTTCTCCTGTCTAATACCATGCAGATATTCCAAGGGCAATCATAATGTTCCTTCCCATATTAAGTAAAGTAACAAGCAATGTATGTGGCTGAGATTTGCTCCAATGCCCAGTTACAGATTGTTCTAAACTAATCAATACACAAAATTCTTCCCTATCACTTTAATCCAGAATAGTTCAGTCAGAGCACACAGCCACAGCTGTTCCTGGTAGCCATCTCGAGATGGCTTGGACACTAGTCCAAGGACAATGCTTTCAGTGGGAAAAGAACAGAGTTAAAAGATTTACAGAGAAATGTAGCCAAAGCTCATTCTGGTTTCCCAGAGGATAGTTTTTTTTTTCAGTCCATAAGGACTTAGATCTTTAAGTAGGTTTAGTGGTCAGTGTATGGTAGTACCTGCAGGCCTAAATCAGATGTTTGTTCCTTGCTGGCTTCCTGAGAATGATTCCTGACTACCTTGCTGTGAACGGCACAACTCATGCAGTATAGCTTCACGTACAGCTTGGGAAGCACCCAGGTGTTGAAGACATTTGTTTTAGAAATGTCCCTGAGAGATGCAGCTTCTACTATGTTTTGAATGATAAACTTCATAGCTTTGTCCTTGGGCATGCATCCGTCGCAGTTCATGAAGTAAATATGCTACACGTGGCCATGGCCCTTTTTGGCATAAACGTCACTTTTTTTTTGTTTGTTTGAGACAAGAGTCTCACTCTGCTGCCCAGGTTAGAGTGCCATGGCGTCAGCCTAGCTCACAGCAACCTCAAACTCCTGGGCTCAAGTGATCCTACAACCTCAGCCTCCAGAGTAGCTGGGACTACAGGCATGCACCACCATGCCTGGCTAATTTTTTCTGTATATGTTTTTAGTTGTCCAGCTAATTTCTTTCTATTTTTAGTAGAGATGGGGGTCTCACTTTTGCTCAGGCTGGTCTCGAACTCCTGAGCTCAAACGATCCTCTTGCCTGGGCCTCCCAGAGTGCTAGGATTACAGGCGTGAGCCACCATGCCCGGCCACTGTTGTCCCTTTTTTCTTTGTCATCTTGGAAGTGAGGACATGAAAGTGTAAAATATATATTTTCTTACTTCTAAATGGATTATCTGTGTACCTGTGGAAGTCTGTGCCATTGAGGATAAAGAAATACATGCCTACTTTAGTAAAGGGACAACAGCTAGAATTATTAATACTATTGATATATTAGAGCTGCTGTCAGGTTACCAGAATGGTTGACTCATCAATGTGATTCCTGAAAAACATCATTGGTTTCCCTTTCCGTAGGCAAAATAATTTATCATCATGTAAGAAATTCCAGATGAACAGAACTTTCTGTGGTGAAGTGTTCTCTATCAGTGCCATCCAATATAGTAGCTACTAGCCACCTAAGGTTTGGCTAGCGTGATGGAGGGATTGAATTTAAAATTTTATTTAATTTTCATTCATTTAAATGTAAATAGCCAGTGGCTACTGTATCAGACAGCACAGGTTTAGACCTGTGTGAACACTTGTAGATGATATAATAAACTGAGTTTATATTAATATTATGGTTGAAAAACTCAGTAGATGTAAAGGCAATGGATTAAACTTACTTTATATATTAGTAGCAAAATTTGGAAATTGAGAAACAATTGAATCCTAACTAGTCTATGGAGGAGAATCAATCATCATTGTTTCAAACAACAAAAACAATTACACTACTTCTTACATTTTACAATCTTGTTTATTTGGACTCTGCAAATATAATCCACCATGTACCTACATATCTACCATTTTTTCTAAGTGCTAGAATACTAATTAAAGATGTCTACTGGTAGCTTACACTCTAATTTGGGAAATAA